CGGTACTTCTGCATATGTTATAGAGGCTGTGTTTTACAGTTTGAAATGGTCTCCCGATATAGTTGGTGTGAATAGTCCGTGTAATTCAAAAACTGTCCGTTTCAAGGGGCAGGACGTGAAGTGGTTGCACACTTGGTTCAAGCGAGCGAATTGGTTGCAAACTTGACAAAATGGCAAACACGGCGCGATTTTTTGAAACGGGTGAACGAATTTTTGCCAGGCAAGTGGGTTTCTTTGTTATTTTGAAGTTCATTAGTATGTCTATTCCATAATGCAATATATATGCCACACTCGGTTAAAGGTTTCAGCATCCTAGATTCTGTTTTGACGAAGTTATTGAAGGTATAAACTGATCATGTAGATATTTTGAAATTTGACATGTGACTGTTCTGGTCGGGTTTTCTCCTAATTTATTCGAATTTGTAAGTTTTGAACTGCATTTAACAATAACAAAATATGTTTCTGTCAATGCTGTACAAATGGTTTAGTTCGCAAGTCCGAAGATAACATTCAATACACAAAAATATATTGTTCAAGCACATTTTGGTTGCAGACTTATACTTCAAGCATTTTTGGTTGCAAACTTTTGTGTCAATAATGTGGCATGCATATTTTTAGCGAGGAATAACTTATCTATTTTTTTAAAAATAATTAGCAATATTAAGGCAATTATACCCGTTCATCTAATAAGAAATATATATACAAATTGTGCATGCGTGCAGATATATCCTAACACAGGGTCTTTCAAATAGATATATAACACAATATGCTAAATTGAAGTTCAGTTGTGTTTATCATCATCATTTTTTCTCCTCGATATACTTCTTTTCTTTTTACATAGTCTTAGGACTTTTTTTATCTTGGCATGATTAACAGTAAAGGAAAAGAAGAAAAAAATAGCAATAAACAACTTTCATTATTGTTCTTTTTTGAGATTTGAAATAAATTTGATTGTATAGTAGATACAAACTACATTAACATTGACGCAAGGGCATTATTCACATGTTTCTTTAAATTGTTCCTTATTATTGACCAATCGAAACATCTTCCAAATTCCCTAACTCGAACAATGACTTTAAGTAGTTTTGTCACGTATCAGTCAATGTAAATTACCAATCGTATATCAGTTATATTATGATCTAATAGTCAAAATAATTTTTAGAATACCAATTGACATATATGATATGTATATCAAATCCGAAATATTGTAAACAAGCATGTCATTTTAACTTTTGGTTTATAAGTACATTTACATACTTTATGTCTAAAGCAACTGCTGATCTTTACATACGAAACAAACAAAATAACATTTATTGTGGTTTTGATAAACTTTGGAAATTTTGCCGAGTAACATCGTATGTGTTCACATGTCCTTCTGTTTATGATGAAAATAATTCACTTACATACAGCAGTACTCTCACATACGTTTGTTTTGTATGTAGTTTTCATTCGATTTTGATATGATGACATATTTTAGAATTGAAGTATCAATAAATATTTTTCTTCTATGTGCTTTTATTTTGTTTGCAGGCTTTTACTGATGGTTATAGTGTTGGTCTGAGAACCATGTAATTTGAAATATAAAGTGCATACTTGTTGTAAAAGAAGAAAGTATAAATAACATTTATAACAAAAACAAGTAAAAGAACATAAATGTCAATAATTGCCATTGAAAATAGGTTAACAAATATAAACTACTACAATCCTTTTGCAAAGGTTTACTTTGGATTTCAATAGAATAAGAATAAGTTTGCAACCAAATATGCTTGAAGTATAAGTCTGCAACCAAAATGTGCTTGAACAATATATTTTTGTGTATGAACGTTATCTTCGGACTTGCGAACTAAACCATTTGTACTGCATTGACAGAAACATATTTTGTTATTGTTAAATGCAGTTCAAAACTTACAAATTCGAATAAATTAGGAGAAAAATCGACCAGAACAGTCACATGTCAAATTTCAAAATATTTACATGATCAGTTTATATCTTCAATAACTTCATCAAAACAGAATCTAGGATGCTGAAACCTTTAACCGAGTGTGGTATATATATTGCATTATGGAATAGACATACTGATGAACTTCAAAATAACAAAGAAACCCACTTGCCTGGCAAAAATTCGTTCACCCGTTTCAAAAAATCACGCCGTGTTTGCCATTTTGTCAAGTTTGCAACCAATTCGCTCGCTTGAACCAAGTGTGCAACCACTTCACGTCCTGCCCCTTGCGTTTTATCTTAGATGCCACCAAGAAACTTTGTAGCGCCACAGTTAAAAAACAACAACAACAACAAAAAAAAACAAAAAAAAACAACTTATTTCTGCAGAAATTATTGGAGATATTTTTTATAACACGACAAGGATAATTGTTCTTTATATCATTTAAGATCACTTGCAATTGTAATCATAGGGTTTTCAGGATTTTTGAGGATCGGAGACCTGTTAAATTTAAGATGTACTGATGTTACATTCGATGATGATTACTTAAGTTTGTACATACGGTCTAGTAAAAATTAAGTCGTGGTTCTTCAGTTGTTATTTCAAAATCAACTTGTGTTACATGTCCATATACAACATTACAACTTTATTTTTCAAATGCTGATTTATCAAACGATAGTGAAGAGCATGTTTTTCGGTCTTTATCTTCATGCAAGAAAACTAACTCTTTTAAATTAAAGAAATGAGGTTGCTTATCTTATACTCGAGTAAGGGAATGGTTACGTGAGATGCTTGTCGAAGTTGGCTTAAACCCTAATGAATATGGGACTCTCAGTTTAAGACGCGGTGGCGCTACCGCCAGCGCTGTTATCAATGTATGTGATAGACTTTTTAAAAAGCACGGGAGATGGAAAAGTGAGCATGCAAAGGACAGTTATGTGTCTGAGGATATTAATTCGATTCTCAGCGTTTCTCAAAATCTAGGATTGTAATTCAGTTTCGTTTTAGTTAGTAGCGTTAGTTATCCCGTACTTTAAAATTCGACGTTGGAACAATCGCTCTTAGCCAATTGCATATAAATTGTTTATTTGTTTTGTTGTAGTGTAGTATATGTAAGTTGAAGGGCTTAAGCTTGTAAATGATTTATGATTGGGTCGTCAGACCAAGCAAATAATGGTAGCGAAATTTCAGACCCTGATGCTTTTAATTGCAAATGCCGAAAGTAGTCCGCTTCAAAAAAGGGGTTTGCACGCTCGCTTAGGAATCGAGAGGTCTGGAGTTTAAATCCCAGTTGAGGCAAATCGTTTTTTTAAATAATTTTAAATAAACATTGAATTGAATATCAGTGTTGCAATTAGTCTTATAGCCAATTTCCTGCATTTAAAACACTGGAAAGCATTGGTAGCACTATACAAAACAAATTGGTTTATAATCTTACAACCTTCACCTTTCTGATATTCTGAGATCCAAACAAATTCAGCGCCTTCTGTGCTTTGATATAATTTTGCTACTGCTATTGCTCACTGCTACTGCCAATTTCACGTTTTATAATTTTGTTACTGCTACTGCTGACCCACTGCTACTGTCAACTTCACGTTTTATGATTTTGCTTCTGCTACTGCTGAGACACTGCTACTGCCACGTACCTTCACGTTTTATAATTTTGCTACTGCTACTGCCAACTTCACGTTTTATAATTTTGCTGCTGCTACTGCTGAGCTACTGCTACTGTCAACTTCACGTTTTATTACTTTGCTACTGCTACTGCTGAGCTACTGCTACTGCCAATTTCACGTTTCATTATTTTGCTACTGCTAAGCTACTGCTATTGCCAACTTCACATTTTATAATTTTGCTACTGCTACTGCTAAGCTACTGCTATTGCCAACTTCACATTTTATAATTTTGCTACTGCTACTGCTGAGCTACTGCTACTGTCAACTTCACGTTTTATAACTTTGCTACTGCTACTGCTGTGCTACTGCTACTGCCAACTTCACGTTTTATGATTTTGCTACTGCTACTGCTGAGGCACTGCTACTGCCACCTTCACGTTTTATAATTTTGCTACTGCTACTGCCAACTTCACGTTTTTATAATTTTGCTACTGCTACTGCTGAGCTACTGCTACTGTCAACTTCACGTTTTATGATTTTGCTACTGCTACTGCTGAGGCACTGCTACTGCCACGTACCTTCACGTTTTATAATTTTGCTACTGCTACTGCTGAGGCACTGCTACTGCCACGTACCTTCACGTTTTATAATTTTGCTACTGCTACTGCTGAGGCACTGCTACTGCCACGTACCTTCACGTGTTATAATTTTGCTACTGCTTACTGCTGAGGCACTGCTACTGCCACGTACCTTCACGTTTTATAATTTTGCTACTGCTACTGCTGACCCACTGCTTCTGTCAACTTCACGTTTTATGATTTTGCTACTGCTACTGCTGAGGCACTGCTACTGCCACGTACCTTCACGTTTTATAATTTTGCTACTGCTACTGCCAACTTCACGTTTTATTACTTTGTTACTGCTACTGCTGAGCTACTGCTACTGCCAATTTCACGTTTCAAAATTTTGCTGCTGCTTCTGCTGTGCTACTGCTACTGCCAACTTCACGTTTTATAATTTTGCTACTGCTAAGCTACTGCTATTGCCAACTTCACATTTTATAATTTTGCTACTGCTACTGCTGAGCTACTGCTACTGTCAACTTCACGTTTTATAACTTTGCTACTGCTACTGCTGAGCTACTGCTACTGCCAATTTCACGTTTCACGGTTGATTTGAACATTGCAGGTTGCTCTGCATTTGGCATGTTTTAGCCTAATGTATAAATTAATATATTGCACATTTTCTATCATAACGGTTAAAATATATTAGACTATAAGTGGACCTTTAGGACATTACATTTATGAGGATAAGGAACAAGGGCAGGCAATTTTCTTGAACTTTGAATTCCTCGCATCCGAACTCCAAACATTGATTTTTTTAGTTTACAATCAAGTTGTTAGGGATATATTATTTCTTAAGTAGATAAATAGTGTCAACCTTACCAATCTCTTTTCACCTGTGTGTATGTATCCCTCTCATTTCCCGCACATTTTGAATACTACTCATCATCATCATAAAGTCCTATATGTAATTAATTATTCCATAAATTATGATTATAATTATTTAAAAACAACAACAACTCATCAATCAATATTGTTGTATGTTGAATCAATATACATCCACTTACACACATCCGCTCTGTAAATTACACTTATTTCCACATCTACTTCAACTACTACACAAACTATTTACTCATTAAATATGCTTATGTAAAGCAAAGATTATAATTAAAATAAGTTTAAAATCAAGAAGCTCTACTCTACAAACACGTTTTTTCTGTTTTATTATATGATATTATACATGTATACATAAGTGTTAACGTAACATGGACAGCTAGTTCGCATTGTTTCTTTTTAAGTTTTATGCTCACAAACTAGAAGTCATCTATTCCGATGCACCTTTTAAGGCGCGAAAATTAAACAACATACATGATGTTTGCAGAAACAAAGACGGAGTGAGTCATAAGAAACCTTTTTTTTTGTATTTCAAAAGTTAAAAATAATTAATATTTATAAAATTATACACTCCTTTAGCAGTGTTAAATGACATAACAGAGATATATACAATTAAATTAAAACTGTATCACACCACTAACTTTAAATACATATTTAAACATTCGATGGAATGGTCTTAATGTATATTGTAGTCATTCAGAAAAGATAACGGATTGAGTATAATGAATAATAATGAATAATAATAATAATAATAATAATAATAATAATAATAATAATAATAATAAAAACAATAAAAAAGCAACAACAACAACAAAAACAAACAAACAAACCGCAGTTACATGATGAACATTTTTTTTTACCCACATTTAATCGAGTTAACACCATTTTCTTTGGCAACTTTGTACTGTCAATTTGTTGATTTTCTTGCTGTACTTTGTTTCTTCGAGGCTACAATTTTTATATATATATAAACATGTGACCACATCTTCTATTTTTGCGGTTAGCCGCTTTAGTTATAACAACTTCTGGAGAGACTGGTCAAATTTTGAGCGAAAACAGCCAAATTACTTACTCTGATTTGCTGCTGCGCCAGTACAAAAATAATTCTCAAAATGTAACAAACAATTACCAATGATTCGAAGATTTTTCATGTGCTGGGCGATTATACCGTAATGTAATTTTCTGTGACTTTGATTACTCGAATGAGATTGTGAGAATAAACATTTTTGAAAATATTAGGGGGCAGGGGACATATTCGAATGATGGCCCCGGTCAAATTTTTTTATAACTCAGACATGGTGTTTTGAAGGTACTGATAACTTCTGATATTTCTCTGTCATTGTAATTCTTTCTTGTTTGTGTGTAGGAAATGAGAAGTATTTTTGGGTTTTTACCCGAAACTAAGCATTTTGGTAGCTTTATATGTATTTCTGACTCTCCGAATGGAGGTGAAAAAGTTAAAAATCAAGCTTTGACAGTTGGCGCCAAACAAGTAAAGAAATTTCAGATAAATTTTGTGAAAAATCTAAACGTATGACAGACACTTTATTGGTCATTTCTGGAAATGCCATAGCTTGCACTGCGTGTTACTGATATTTTTAAAGGAATCGGGCGGATTCTGGAGTATGCTGCACCTTCATGAAGATTGCCCATATTGGTATATTTTTAGGTGTGATTTTGGCTGGGTGGGGGTAAATATAAATTGCTGTCAGTCATTTTTTTGAAGGAGCAATGCATGCAAACTATTATTTTCTTCAATGTATGTCATATATCATTGAATAATGCTGTGCAACTGGTTATCTGCCTGTGAAACAGATTTTGAAATATTTGGAATTGTGTTTCTGGTCACACTGAAATACAAAAATTGTTCATTTTTAGGTCCCCTGGGGCCGGCCTTAAGGAAAAATTTTCAAATTTTTAAAATGTGTTGGACCATTCCAAATGTGCCAAAAAATG